CATTCTTATCTGCTACACCATACTGGGTATGTAAAATAAATTATTATCCTGGGCCATCTCAATTTGCTGCCTGGGTTTAAACAAAAACTACACCCCTGAAACCATAGTCAAACAAGTTGTTTTGGTTCTAAAGGCACAGAAGAAACAAGACTACCTCCCATCCTTTGTGGCACCCAAAATCCACCTCACTACCTAATGGCAAGGCAGAGTCTTAGTCCCTTAACTTTTACAAAAGATTTTGCTAACACCAGCAAAATAATAATTTAGGGCTTACTGAGATCAACCTCATATGGATTTACTGTATTCTGTTCTTAAATGAAACTACCCCAGGAGGCCCCTACCTTAACCTCCACTCTATTCCCTGATTAAAGGCCTCAGTTTCCCACACACACTACCACCCCGCGCCCCCCCAACAAAGGCCAAAATCCTGTATCTTATCATAGCAATTATGAACAGAAAAATCTAATTAATTAATTAATTAATTAATGCACTATGTAGGCTCACTGAGTCAGTGAGGAGTTGGTGAATCACCTCCTTCCTAAATTCCATTGATTCAGATGGGGCTCCTCTAACTGCAACTGACTTTAGCACAGTGAGTCTACGTTAAGAGTAGGGCCATTTGAATCAATGGAACTCAGAAGAGTTGCCTCAGCAAATCCTCCCTGTCTCAATGGGGCTCCTCTAATGCAATGTACACTAAGCAACGGGTTCTGGGCCACTCTCTCCCACCTCAATCTGTTCTTTTCCTTTTCTCACCCACTTTTACGTCTCAAGTCGAGCGCCAGGCTAACTGCTTGGCCTGGACCGAACATGCAGAAGGCAAGCGACGCTACTCGTGCGTTGCTTGCATTCTGGCCGGCTGCAAGCAGGATCGGGGCCAATTCTTTTCCAAAAAAAAAACCTTGCACGGTAAAAGGGGCAACGGACTGAGAGGCAAGGGAGGAGCCGAGCGAGCCCACAACTGCATGACCGACAACCCGTCGCCCCCTTCCCTTCCCTCCCCTCCCCTTCCAAGCGCTGCGCCAGCAACCCGGGCCGCCTTTCCCCCCTC